GCTCTTTGGGAAAGTTTGTGAGCGTTGGTGAGATAGTGGTGAGCATAGCTGCCTTTCAAAAGTTTGCCAACCCCTGGAAGAGCTAATCCTGTCCCTCACAACAATTTAAAAATTATCCAAGAGCCATACATATATTTTTACAAATAAGGAAAATTTAAAGTAATATTGTAAATGAAACTATGATAGTTTTATTTTCATTTTCAATTTTACTTCAGAGCCACATGTACGTACCCAAAGAACCGCATGTGGCTTGCAAGCCGCAGTTTGCCGACCCCTAGCGGCTCTGCCATCTCAAAAGTTTGCCAACTCCTGGCCTAGTGTAAAGTGTTGAGTGGTTTTCCCTATGTCTTTCACGTGACCATATCAAATGAGAGAAGAGTCGTTAACATTTATTTCTGTGCCTTTAGTACTTACCATTGTACTTTGGTAGAGAGTATGGCTCTCAACAGGTGTTTGAGATAATCAGGTGGGAGGAAGTGTGTACCACAAAGGGAAAAAGAAAGTTGATGTGTCAGTTACATAATACCCTCCAAATGTTGTGTAACAACCAACCACAATACTGGGTGGTAGGAAACATGCACGTTGATTTTTGCTCTGAGTCTATGGATTAATCAGGGACTCTGTTGATATAGATAGGTGTGGCTGATTTGACTAGACTTGCTCGTGCACCTGCAGTCATTGTGGGCTGGCTGGGGGCTGGCTGCTTTAGGATAGCCTCAAATGAGAATACTCATTGCTCCTCAGTGCAGTCTCTAATCCTCCATGAGCTCACCCAGGCTTATTCTCCTGGGAGATGCAGGCATCCACTAGAGTTCCTAGGCTTGGAACAGGCCAAAGCTGCTTCTGCCTCATTTATTAGGGAGGAAATACACTCTACCTCATGAGGCGGGGAGCAGCAAAATCACACTACAGAGAGTCTGGATAGAATGAGGCCACTGACTAATTCTAGAAATGCAGTCAATTCATCATATCCTATCTACGGGTACTATGTTAATTTAGATACATCTTCACATCAGTCAATGGCATGCTACTAACTCACAAATGTCTAAAGAAATATAATCCTATCGTAGTCGTGAGATTTGTTCAAACTACTTTAGTTTGAAATAAAAGTTTTCTGATGAAAAAAGAACTTAGACACAAAGCAATCATTTAAACACTGAGTATCACAGCTCAAACAATAAAGAAATTACAAAATAAAGATGCTAATGAAACAAAGAGAAGGAAGGAGGGGGAGGAACAGATAATGACTCAACAGAGCCCAACAGCTAAACTGTAGCAATCAAAGCAAATAGCAAGAAAACAAAAGGCACTGATTAAATTCAACCTCTCTGCTTCCAGGATAATAATGGATGTGGGATCATTTTCAGCAAACAGTATGGTAAAGACCTAAGTTAGAGTACAGAAAGCATTCTCAGTTCTATTTTCATTATGATTGGAGGAAAGATGCATTTTCTTGATCAATTAGGAAAAAATATTTCTATTAAGGTAGTATGTGTAGAGCTATATAGCAGGCCACTTGAAGCTATCTTGTCCTTGCTCGAAGAAAACTATATATCATCCACATTCAGCTTGGCAGAGAGCAAAATGGCATCCCCTTAGAGCCTTGGTATCCTGGATCAAGGGACCAATTCTCTGTTTCAGGACAATCTCCACAGTGTTCTGGCAAAGCACAAGGCTGAGTGTCAGCAACATGAAATTGTTAGGTAAAAAAGGCCCTCAAGACGGCTTTAACATTTCCCTGAAGTTGACAGACCTTGAGACAGGCTTCTTCCTGTTTCCAGGCCCCTGACGTCCCTTTCATCCAGGCCCTTACCAGAGTCCAGATAGATGGCCTAACCACAGAGGTCCCTCTGCTCTCTCTTCTTAGAGCATTTGCTTTAGAAAACTTATCATTGTAAAACCTTAATTTGCCCCTTTGAGATGCAAATCTTTTCAAACTCCTCTTGCCAGTTTTACAACCCAGGACCTGGGGCCATCCCTTTGAAATGTAATCACCAAGGAAGACAATGCTCCACCCCCCAGTGTGTGGGGGAGGGTCGGAGCCTAACTTCCTTTCCCAGGGCAGCTTGCTGTAAGTGTGAAACTTCCTCCTGTCCTGAAGACACATGAAAGTTTAATTTTCCTTTGGGAAAAGCTAATGAGCAAACCCTGATGGCCCAGAATCTTCCCACCCAAGTCCTGAAAGTCAGACTGAGTTCCCATCTCTCTCTCCGCCATTGCAATAGCTTGGAATAAAGCCTTCCTTCCATGTGTACGTTAGTCTGGTGCAATTTGGTTTTGAAAATGGCATCCACACATGAGAAAAAAATTGAGATGTTTTGTTTGAAAAGTTTTTCTGAAATTTCAAAAATTCTTCACAGAAATTCTAAGAAGGCTGACTGTCTCTGTATAGAATTTAAAAAGAAAATAGTTCATCTTTTGGAAAGCCCCATTTATTCAGAAATGATTTAAGGTGTTAGACCAAAGCTAAGAAGCTTTCCCCTTAATTGAGGAAAGAAAAAAAATCTTGTGTTTATCACAGATAACTTGAAGTTTCTCTCTGAAGGATCCTTCTTTATGAGTGTTTTTTTCTGTAAACTTGGCAGCATACATTGCTGCGCATCTCTACCCTATGAAGCTTATAATAGGAAAATACGTGCTCTTTCTAAATTAGCCAGATTTGAACCTTACTAAGTTTAACTTCAGTTTAGTGTACATTTAATATTTTGTCCTTAGGTCCTAGGCCTGTTTCAGAGCCCAGAGCACCTATCAGATGTTGATGAGCTTTGAGTCTAGTAAGGTTGGTGTTCACACAACTCTGTGTGGAATAATGCCAAGAGAAAGTGTAATTCTATGAGGGACTCAAAAAATAAAAAAGATCTATAGGCAGAAGGTGTTAACATCCAAGATGAACAAAGGGAAAAAATTAAACAGAGGATGCTCACTAGCCAGGTCTTATAGGATGAGTGGGCATTACAGAGAAAGGATTCCAGGCCAAGGCATTAGCTTAATAAAAGGTTAAAGACTGTGCTTGCTTATGTCATCTTCTGTTGCGTTGTAAACAAATTAAGACAATCTGGTAAAGTAGAATAAAGGCAAATCCTGCCTAATTACTCCATTGTTAATTAATTAGTGCTACCAAAAGTTACTGAAATGTGAGATTTGTACTTTCAATCACTAATTTATAAAGTTGTTTTGGGTTTATGTACATTTTATACTTTTATTAACTTCTTTGAGGGATAATTTATGTAAAATAAACTACATCTATTAACAACATGCAATTTGGTGAGCTTTAACCAGGTATACACCCAGAAAACCTCAATCAAGATAGTGCATATAGGGCCGGCTGAGTGGCTCAGTTGGTTAAGAGCTCACTCAAGGGTTTGAGCTCTGAGCAACAGCGGTTTGAGTCCAGCCTGAGCTGAGTTGCTGCTGAGCTGCCAACAGGTGGCAGGATGGCTCAGCTAAAAAATAATAATAATAATAATAAGATAGTGCATATATTCATTATCCTCAGAAGTAGAACCCATTCTTTGTTCCTAGACCCACCCAATTGATCCACAATTTGTCATTATAGATTAGTTTTTATTTTGTAGATTTTGTATAAATGATATTGTACTTTTTATGTATCTCACTTCTTTTATTCTGTATAATACATTAGAGAATGGTATATGGTAATTATATGAATAAGTTTAGCTTTTTAAGAATCTGACCAATGATTTTACAAAGCGGTAGTACCTTGTTACACTTCTACCTGCAGTGCAGAAGGTTCTAGCCATGCTACCTGCTTGGCAGCAATTGAACATGTAAGTCTCTCAAAAAGAGAGACAAGAAGGAAGGAAGGGAGGGAGGGAGAAACCGACCGTTCTAGGGAGTAGGTACTGAAATTTCATTGTGCTTTTTATTTGTATTTCCCTGTTGACTAATAATTTTAATAATTTTGAGCATCTTTTCATGTGCTTATTGGTTATTTTTATAACCAATTTTGATATTGTTGAATATCTGTTTGAATCTTTTCCCCATTATCTCTTGAGTGATTTGTCTTCCTAATATTGAGTTGTAAAAGTTATTTGTATATTTTGAATACAAGTTCTATGTAAGAAAAAAATAATATAATTTTGATAAAGTATAATTTTTATCAAATTTTAAATGATCCATGCTTTTTGTGTCCTTTATAAGGAAACAGTGCTTAATCCAATGTTTCAAAATATTTTCTCCTATGCTGTTATCTTTAGGAAGCTTTGTAGGATGAGCTTTTACATTTAGATTTATGATTCAAGTTAATAGTTAGATCTGGTATAAGGTAAAAATTGATGCTCATTTTTTCCATATAGATATATTTTTGTTCCTGTAATATTAGTGAAAAAGAGTTTCTTTCTACATAAGTGTCCTGGGAACTTTGTAAAAAAAATCAATTGTCCATGAATGAGTGGTTCTATTTATGGACTTTCTATTATGTTCCATTAATCTATCGATAGTTTTTGCTAATTCCAAAACGTCCTGATTATGTAACGTAACGTAAGCCTGAAATTCAGTAGCATATGTACTACAACTCTTGCTCTTTTTTAAAGTTGCTTTGGCCATTCTACTTCCTTTGCATTTCATGTAATTCAGAATAAGTTTGTCAATTTTTATGAAAAGGCAAACTGGAATTTTGATTTGGATTCATCTATAAATCATTTGGACAAATTGCCTTCTTAATAATATTGTGTCTTACAATCCATGGCCATAACATAGCTCTTCATTTAATTATGTCTTAAATTTTCTGTTAGAATGCCTTGTGGTGTTTATTGTAGAGGTCTTGTACATATCCATAAGTATTTATGATTTTGGTGCTATTATAAATGTAATTCAATTTTTTTCATTTCTGATTGTCTCTAGTATAAAATTAAATTAATTTTATGTATTTACTGTGTGTATTATAACTTTGCAAGTCTCTAAGTTATTTATTTTATAAATTCTTTAGGAACTTCTATACCATGCCACCTTAAAATACTCATAGTTTCACATCTTGTTTTCAGATCTTCATGCAGTTTATTTCTTCTTTTTTGCCTCGGTGCAATGGCTAGAATCTCCAGTAAAATGACCAATAAAAATGGTGAGTACTGGCATCATTTTTTGTTTGTTGTTTCTACATTTGGGGAAAAACATCTATTTTCCATTTAAGTATGATTTTTGCTGTAGGTCTTTTTGTACACAAACTTCATTTGAGAATATTTTCTTCTGTTAGTAATATGTTTGGAGTTTTTACCCCAAATGTGTTTGAATTTTGTTAAACGTGTTTTATGTATAGTTTGAGATGATCACATGGTTTCCATTTTTTAATTTGCTCATATGGCAAATTATATTTATGGATTTTCAAATGTTAAACTAATTGATTTCCGGGGACAAAGACTATATGATGCTTTTTATTTATTGCTAGATTGGATTTGCTAATATTTTATTATTTTTGCATTTCTGTGTTTAGGGAATATTTCTAATTTTCTTTAAGTAGATGTGGATGTGATGATTTTAATATCTTAATCCCTAGAGCAACTACTAAAAAAAAAATACAAGCTGATACAGCCCAAGAGTCTATACATAAATTAAAAGGGAAAACAACAAAACAACAGAATCCAAGTAATCTGAAACAAACCAGAAAATCAGAAGCAGAGGAATGAAAAAATAGAGGGGTCACACAGAAAACAAATAATGAAATGGTGGACGTAATGTATCTATATCAATAATCATATTAAATATTAATAGTCTAAACACTCCAGTTAAAAGACAAAGATTGAGTGAATTAAAAAAGCAAGTCTTTCAATATGCTTTCCACAAAAGACAACATAAAGATAGAGAGTTTAAAAGCAACTGCATTCAAGAAGTTATACCAAAAAAATAGCAGAAGAAGTCTGGGTAGCTATTATAATATATGATAAAATGGACTTAATGGTAAGGCATATTACTGGTGTAAAAAGAGATCTTTTATAATAATAGAAAGGATCATTTATCAAGAAAACATAAGAATTATAAATATGAACATAGTAACAAAGAATCAAAATATGTGAAACAGAAATTGGTAGAACTAAAAGGGGAAATAGAAAATCCCATAATTATAGTAGGAGATTTTTTATCACTGTTCTCTCAGGAACTAATAAAACAACTAGATTTTTTAATTTTATTTTTATTTTTCAATTGTTCACATTCAATATTATTTCATATTAGTTTCAGGTGTACAGCATAGTGGTTAGACATTTATATAATTTATGTAGTGATCCCCCTGACTAGTCTAGTACCTGCCTGGTATTATACATAGTTATTACAATATTATTAACTATATTCTCTATGCTGTACTTTACATCCCTGTGACTATTTTGTAAATATCAATTTGTACTTCTTAATCCCTTCACGTTTTTCACCCTGCCCCAACACCCTCCCCATCTGGTAACCATCAGTTTATTCTCTGTATCTATGAGTCTGTTTTGTTTTTTTTGTTTGTTTTATTCTTTGGAGTCTATATAAGTGAGACCATATGGTATTTGTCTCTGACTTATTTCACTCAGCATAATATCTTCCAGGTCCATCCATGTTGTCGCAAATGATAAGATTCCATTTTTTATAGTTGAGTAATATTCCATTGTATAAATGTACCACATCTTCTTTATCCAGTTGTCTACTGATGGACACTTAGGTTGCTTCCATATCATGGCTATTATAAATAGTGCTGCAATGAACATAAGTGTGCGTATATGTTTTCAAATTAGTGTTTTGGATTTCTTCGGATAAATACCCAGAAGTGAAATTGCTGGGTCATATAATAGTCCTATTTTTAATTTTTTGAGGAGCCTTCATACTTTTTTCCATAGGGGCTGCACCAATTTGCAATCCCACCAACAGTAAGGTAGGCAAGATTTTAAAAGTGACAGTACCTACGTATGCAGAGCCAAGAAATTGTACACTTCTGGTGGGAATGTAAACAAAAGTGAAAAATACATTTTTAGGAATAGATAAATAAGTCTATAGCAAGACAAAGACAAACCTGTGATTCAGGAAGAGACAAGGTATCCCAAAGTAATTGAATCACAAAGGGCTCACAGGAAGCTTATAAATTATTAGTTATGTTCTATTTCTTAAGATAGGCAGTGTGGAGATGAGTATTCATTCTATTTATTAGTCTTCATAACTTAGATAAGCCTCATCTCTCAAATATAAGAACAAAATATTAGGGGCAGACTCCATGTCTGTTTCATATTAGCCCAGCTATTAATCATTTTCCATTCACCATATATCTGCTGTTTATTTCATGTGACAAGCACTGCAAAAAGTGTTCCTCCTGAGAGAAAGAAAACAATTCCGTATCTCTTGGTTTGCTTTACCATTGTTGATGATGGTAATTGTCATATTGTTTAAGAAAGAGTGTCCAAAATCCCTGCTTTATTTTATTTCCTCTAGAACTGGAATAAATTAATATTCTCTTCTCATTTTTAGAAACCATTTGCTCACATCTCTCTCCATGTCAAATGGACAGTACATATTGTGCTTGTCATTCATAATTTAACATAGGAAAATTTGCATTCTTTGATGTATCCCTCCCTTGTGAGTACCTGCAAATTGAGAACAGTTGGAGATGATATCACCAAGAAACAAAATTTAGAGCATTCTGAAATGTTGTCTTTGTTTTCCTTTCTGGAGCCTAATTCCCCAATGCTACATCAATGTCATCTTTTCAAACAACAGGAGGATTAATAGTGACTATCATATATACTTCTTGCTAGGCCACTGGCCATAGAGGACACATTGTGACGAGGCTTATTTAGTAATCAAGGCAGAACTTGACACCAGCAAGATTTATCTGGAGATGTGCTTCATAAGAGGAATAGCTTGACCTGAGTGATCACAGGGAGTGTGCATTTCTTTGACTTAAAGGTTAGATAGCTGGGATTTATTACACATGTAAAGCAAGTCTCATCAACGTCATCCCAGTGGCTTGCAAGAAGGAAATTTTATAGTCTCCACAGGATCAATTTTCTATTTCCCAATATTTATCTGAATCAGCAACTAATAAGAAACTTCCTCTATTAGCTGTTGACGATTTCAAATCAGGTATTCTGTCCCTGTCACTGCAAAAAGCTCTGTTGAAATTACTGCCAACCAAATCACGCACAGCGTACGCTACCACATTCGCCACCATGTGCAGGTAATGCATGGTGGGGAAGTTCCTTTGCTTGATATGCATGATGAGTCCTTATCGCTTTTTCTTCTTTTTTTTTTTTTGACTAGTAATGATAATATTTTTTATTTATCTCTTTGGGCATAGAATGGGAAATACAAAAGATTAAAATACCATCCAAAGCAATTAAAATTGGGGTGAGAGTTTACCTCCTGATAATAGCACAAAGCCAATGAAATACCATTTTATTCTGTATTTAGAATCTGACAATATCTGTGTAGTGCGATGAATGAGAAATACCTTTGGGAAAGTAAAGTATATGCTCCACATTCTTTAGTTATTTCACAACTATTAATTGATAACATGATTTTTTTCAACTCTCTGCTCATTTCTATTAATAACATCTGAGAACAATGAAAATTCACATGGCATGATTGTTGATGTTGGAAAATGCTAAGCAATGTACAAAAACAAAACAAAACTCCACTGGAACTAAAAAGTGAATTCGGCAAGCTAGCAGTACATTAGCCCAGCATACAAAAATCAGTTGTAGTTTTATACACAAGCGACAATTGAAAAATACAACAAAAATATCATTTATAATTATTATGGAAAATCATTAACTATTTAAGAATAAAACTAATGAAACATGTGTAAGACCCATACACTGAAAACTATAAAACATTGATGAAATAAAGAAGATAACCTAAGTAAATTGATATACCATGTTCATAGATTGAAAGATTCAATATTAATATTCAGACATCAATTCTACCTAAATTGATCTGTATGTACTCACTACAACATCAAAAATAAAATCTTGTGCACTATTATTTAGAAATTAATAAGCTGATTCTATAATTTATATGTATATGCAAAGGATCTAAAAAAGCCAAAAACAATATTGATAAAGAAGGTAAAAATTTGAGAAATTGATCAATTTGATTATAAGGATCATTATAAAGTAACAGTAACCAAGACGGTTTAAATACTGTATATGTAGGATAAATAGCTAAATGTAACAGAATAGAGAGTTCAGAAATAGATCCATATGTATGCAGTCAAAGATTTTCACAATGGCAGCAAGTTAATTCAGTGCAAGAAAGGACAGTACTTTCAACCAATGGTTCTGGAGAAACTTTTTATCTATTTGAAAAAGAAAAAGAACTTTGACTCCAATCTCACACCACACATAAAAAATAAATATTTCAAGGTGGATCATTGATATAAATACAAAATCTAAAATTACAGAGCTGCAAGAAAATATAAGAGAATACTTTGTAATAGAATAGGCAATAGTTTTTTTAAGTAGGACTAAAAGCATTATAATTAAAGAAGAAAAATGATAAATTGGACTTTATCAAAGTTATTTTCTTAAGTGTGAAAGAGGAACCACAATGAATCATAAGATATTTAAGAGGTATAACAACACTTTTTTTTTTATCTTGAAAAAAAAAAGTAAAAAGTTTTTTGGATCTTGATTCAAATGAGTTAACTATAAAAAGACATTTTTGAGACAAGCAGAGAATTTAATAAGGACTGGATATTAGATTATATGAAGATATTGTTAATTTTGTTTCACATGATAATAGCATTGTGGTTATGTAAAATAATGCCCTTATTTGGCAGAGAACTATTTATGGGTGAAATGATATGTCTTAGAGGTGTTTAAAATACTCAAGAAAAAAGTCAGGGGATATATAAGAGTAGTAAAATGTTGACAATTATTAAAGCTGGGTTATGGTAATGGGGATTCATTAAATTATTCTTTATATTATTCTGTATATCTGGGAAAATTTTTCATAATGAAAGGTTAAAAAGGTTGGTACTAATGGTGTAGGTGTTAGCAGATTACTTTTTTTTCCATTTCCATGGATGAAATATAAAATTCACCCATGAATGCATTATCGGAAAAAACTCAAAAGCATCTTCAACTAAGATTGTCTTTT